TTGATTTACAAATAAGGAATCCTACTTCGCGGAATTTCATTTATCACGATAGGGTCTAGAACCGATTAACCGCGATAAACGAGGGTTCACTGTATACTTACCTGTGAGAGGCTGTGAGAAACAATACATAAGACATCACTGGCGCTTGCTACATTATACATCTTTATAATTGTGAGCTATTATTCGTAAACGGATATTGTCATTAGTTGTCATTGAGTTGGTGCCCACTCATGCCAAGTCCAGGTATATCAGTAGACCTGTGCTCCAGAGGGTTTTTGGTCACTAAGTTTTGGGGAGTGGGTTGCCAGCCCTTTCTTCTGAGGCACCCGAGTGGGCTTGTCCTGTCAACCTTTTGGTCAGCAGCCAAGTGTGTTTCATGTTTGTACCATGATTATTACTCCTTCATATGGAGGCTTTCCTCAAATGGCAATCATTGCATCCAAGAATATGTAGTTAAAGAATGAGACTAACCAGGTATATGCAGGGAAAGTAACTTATTGAATGTTGGGTGCCATTGTAAATTAGTCACATTAATAGCTAGCATTTTATCTAGAAAATTTCAAATGTCAATTTCTATTAATTCTTTTTATTTGGATCAATCCAGATCTTCCAGGAAAGACTCTGTAGACACTACCATAGGGTTTTAATTCTACCTCCTGGTCAAGTAAGCGGCCTATACTATGCACAGACTGACCTGTTTTCTTGACAGAGTGGATGTTATGATTTTTAGAAAATCAGAGGTTCCCTCCCTATTTTAATTACATCAGCAAGTAAATTTCTGGTATCCTATGGGCTGAAAGAGTGGAAATAGGCGGTGGCCTCATATTTCTTACACCGTCTTCTGAGCAATCCCTGTTTCCAGCTCTCTGCCATGTCCTGCTGACTGGATGTAGGACTCCAGGGCCGGCACTTCCTTGGTTTTTGGAGTTCCACAGGCAGCTGTGCTTGCTTCTCCTTAGTACAACTCGCCACAAACATTTAATTTTGACGTTGCCCCCACTGTGCTCCACGTCTTCATGGACGTGTTCAAGGCTTCAGGTAATCATACTAGTATAAAAAAATGATTGAATAAATAAACAAGTGAGCATAGACAAATCTGTGTGGAAGAATTCCAAACAATTTGTGTAGCTACTCCAACCTTGCGGTATAACTCCATGGCCTTTCCAGTGTTGGCTGTACTTAATGAGTCCCTTCGTGAGAATCCAATACAGAAATGCCTTGGGGAAGGGAGTAGACCTTTAAGAAGAACATCTTTCAAACTATTTCCAATGAGGTAATCAGGTTCACATCAACAATAAATCCTGATATGATGTGATAAGAAAACTCCTCTGTGTTTTTTAGCCCAAAGACACATTAACCCAGTCCAACCATAAGACAAATATCACAAAAATCTTTATAAAGGGACAGTCTACAAAATACCTGACCAATAATCTCAGAACTATCAAAGAGTGGCAGAAACGAAGAAAGTGTAAGAAACGTGTACCTAAGAGGACTCTCAGGAAATGTGACAAGTGAATGTAATGTGGTCTGGATGGATGGAATACTTGTTTTTCCTCTGACTATGTTAGGCATTGTAATCCCTCTCCCCCTTTTCTTTTCTACAGAATACTTCAGACTTTGTGCAGGAAATTGAAGCTTCCTGAAATGTTTAATTTTCGTCAGTTAGCACACCTGACGCCAGGCTTTGTCGGGGCTGATCTGATGGCGCTCTGCCGAGAGGCAGCCATGTGTGCAGTCAGTAGGGTCTTGATGAAGCTTCAGGAGCAGCAGAAGCCAGATCCTGAGGCGGAAGGTTTGCTTGCTGCAGGAAGCCAGGAAGCAAGAATAGGAACGGTGCATACTTCTAATACACAGGTGTGTTCCCGGTGTCTTTATTTGTCCTTTTTTCTATCACCTTACACTCAATCCAAGTGTCAATATAGTTGAGTTTTATGATTTTGTTTTATTGGCATTTTATCTGTATGGTAATTATCAGTATTTGTTTAGAATCAGTTTATTAAAAGTTTATAAGCTTAACATTTTAAGTCCCCACTCCCTTTTTTTAGTTTCTTCTGAACAAATGTATTTAATAATGAATGCAAAATTTTAGAGCAGACTTGCCAAGCTAAGGTATAAAACCAACCCAAATCCACTGCCATTGTTTCAATTTTTTTTTTTTTTTGCCATTGTTTCAATTTTAACTCATAACAATCCTGTAGGTCAGAGTTGAACTGCCCCTGTGAGTTTCCAAGACTACAAATCGTTATAGGAGTAAAAAGTCTCATCTTTTTCCTGAGACAAGTGGCTGACAGTTACGAACGCCTGACCTTGCAGTTCCTAGCCCAACATGTAACCCAATAGAGCACGAGGTCTCCTAAACTAAGGTGTGCTGCCTGTTTTTATAAATTACAGTTATATTGGAACATAGCTATGATCAGTAATTTGCATATTACATATTTCTGCTTTTGTATTTCAACTGCAGAATTGAGACCTTACAGCAGAGAGTGACCAAATGGCTGCAAAGCCTAAAAATGTTTACAATGTTTAGAGCAACTCCTTTAGAGCACTGGGCATATAACAGTATTTCCTAACTAATTATTCCAGATTTTCTAACTTTCAGTTAGAGCCAGATAACTGCAAATAATTCTGGAGGACAGTTTATGAATGTGAGAAGGGTATGTTATCAGTCTAAGATTAATGTTAACTTTGGGTGGGGCTTTGTAAGTCATGAAAACTAACACTTGCATGGTTTTGTGTAGTGTATTAGTACACGGTGTGGGAGCCACATCTGACTTCTTCTGACATCCATAGAATCCATCTCCACAGGAGCCCGAGACCAATAGCCACAAGGCAGAGGTCAGGCATGCCCCAACCCTCCATCCTTCTTATACTTTGTTCTAATACCACACCGCACTCACAGACAATACAATTCAGGGGCTTTATTAGGGAAGTTAACAGGTTAACACAAGCAGAATCAGAAAGCATGAAGGAGGTAGGCATTGATCCACAGCAGTGCCTCTCCTCGGGCAGCAGTCAGCTCTCTCTTTCTGGCCCTCAGCCGCATGAGCTCTTGGCCTCTGCCGCCAAGAAGCTCGCTTGCCACTCCACTTCTCTTTCTCATGATCTCATTTCCGGCTTCTGCTCCCAGTCTCTGCCAGTTGAGGCAGAAAAGGATCTCAAATGTGCTCTCTGTTCCTGCTTCTGAGATGTCTCTGTTATAGCCCCGGGATGGCTTCCAAAACTGAGGAATGCCTTCTATTAGTGGTTCACCTACCCTTTTTGCATATTCCCAAACAATCAGTCATTTGCAGCGAGTTACAGAGACATGGGTAGAGAAGCCATATGAAGAGATTTCATTTTACCACAGTTTACAAGTGGAACTTTTATAAGTTATATATATATTGATCTATATAATCTCGTGAGGTAAATAGCATTACTTTCTCCATTTTATACTGGAAGAAACTAAGCTCAAGAGGTGGGACTTGCCCAAAGCCACGTAGCTTCTAATTTCCAGAGTAGAGACTTGCCTCCAGGTCTTTTGCTTTCAAATTATTTGTTTCTCTCTTACTCACTTGGAGCTACAATGATCTCTGTTTAAAATAAACAAACTCACTCTTTTCACATTTAGAGTAGAATTTTGTAAGTGGAATTACTCAGATAATTCCTAACTTGCCAAACATTTATATTCTTCACAAAGTAAGAACTCTACAGTGAATAATTTCCACTGTATTTTAGAAGATTTGTTAAAGTTCAAGATTCAGTGGTACTAGAAAAATTGCCCACTATCTACTTAATTGATAAAACCATCTTAGGCGTCATTATGAAATAATTCATTATAAAAATTCAGTGACTTCTTAAATATTTGTAAATGGAAAATATAGTTATTGACATAAATATTTGGCAATTGACTTGCCATATCTTCCCCCAGTACACATATTGAATACATTAGCCATTCCTATATATTTGAGTATAATGAGTGTTTAACTATAGCAGATGATCCTTACATAAAAAAATAGACGTAAGTGTCCTTTCATTGAAGGAAAATTTTAAAATACATAGAAGTTCACTGTTGCTTACAGAAATAATGAACTAATAATGTATATAGACGTCGGACAGGGCAAGATATGACAAAATACCCATTTATAAACTATCAAGGGCTCATGCGGGAGGGGGGAGCGGGGAGGGAGGGGAAAAATGAGGACCTAATGTCGGGGGTTTAAATGGAGAGAAAATGTTTTGAGAAACGATGTACAAATGCGCTTTACACAATTGATGTGTGTATGGATTGGGATAACAGATGTATGAGCCCCTAATAAAATGTTAAAAAAGAAAAAAAAAAGATTAAAAAAAAAAAGTTATATTTCCACACAATTTGTGATTTTTCATTTTTGTACCCCTTCCTCTCTCCCTTTAAGGATGAATTGCAAAGGCTGCTGGGGTTGCTAAGAGACCAAGACCCCCTCTCAGAAGAACGGCTGCAAGGGCTGTGCATCGAACTGAATGATTTCATTGTTGCTCTAGACTCCGTCCAGCCTTCTGCCCAAAGGGAAGGCTTTGTCACTGTCCCTAATGTGACATGGGCAGATATTGGTGCCCTGCAAGATGTTCGAGAGGAGCTCACCATGGCGATATTGGTAAGTGTGTGCTGCATGCCATAGGCAGTCAGCCAGAGACGCCTAAGGGCACTTGACTGTATGCTGTCTTTAGAGTGTCCGCTTATATCATTAAACCGCAACAAAGGCATCTCATTCCTTTGAAATGTGTTTCTGACTTAGTCTTTTGGGTGTAGCAGTGAGTTTTTTCTAAAAAAACAACAAAAAAACAAAGGTTCAGAGATTATCTGTGACCAAGTGGTTGAGAACTATATCCTGAAGTAGCTCACTCTCTGAAGAGGCAAAGCAGTTTTAACCCCCGTGAAATGTTGGGTGAATTTTCATTTACTCTTACATTTTTACTGTGCTGATCATTTCACGGTTCATTAATTGATGGTTGGGTACCTATAGAAATGGGATTATGGTTCGGGCATCTGAGGGCATTGACTCTGAAGGGTATTATTACCGTATATACTCGAGTGTAAGCCAACTTTTCCCAGCACATTTTTAATGCAGTTTTTGTGGTAAAATTAGGTGCCTTGGCAGATATTTGGGACAGATTATACTCGAGTGTATACGGTACTTATGATTTTTAAACATAGGACATTACCCCAAAGCCTTATAGCTTAGAAGTTGGGTGGTTTTCTAGAAAGTATTTGCTTTGAAAATGTTGAAAGTTTGTTGTGTGTATAAAATATTTTCAGTAGTTAACATTTAAGTATAAATTCATTGAAAACAAGGGCTGTTTCATTTATCACCGTGCATCTCATGCCTAGAACAGAAATAAGCATTCTGTGCCATGCACCTTTCTTCTCTCCAAACCTCAAGATCAGAGTGCAGAGTATGTCCACGGTGTACATGGGGTACAGTTGAGTGTGCAGTGTGAGACGGACGCCTTTCATGGGTTCTTGTGGGGCTGTTTCTTCCCAGGCACCAGTACGTCACCCAGCTCGGTTTAGAGCGCTTGGATTGGTGACTCCAGCTGGAGTGCTCCTGGCTGGTCCTCCTGGGTGTGGCAAAACTCTCCTAGCAAAGGTATGGTGTTAGTTCAACTCTATGTATTTCTTCTTACTTTCAGGCAGACTTAAAGTTATCTTTAAGTATCTTGGTGAATAAATCTTGTGCATAATTTTAACAAGAAGTTCATTTTAGCAAAACTGACCACTTTTTAATTACAAAAGGTACGTCCAAGGGCAGAAAGATGAGGCAGCGTGCTTCTGTAAAGATTACAGCCGTTTAGAAACCCCATGGAGCAGTTCTGCTCCGTCCCATCCCGTTCCTCTGAGTCAGAGTGGGCTCAGAAGGCGGTTTATCCTTGTTAAAACAATGCTGTGTTAAACATTCTGGTACATGTTATTGTACTTTGATAATTTGTTAGAATGAATTACTAAATAATTCTCACGAAGAGGAATGCATGTTTTTCAACCTTTTAATCCATGTTACTGAAAATGCCTTCCAAAGACTGTAAGTTTTCACACTTTCTCAGGGTAAGAGGATCTTTTCCCGACCTCTAAATCAATGGTGGGCATTAAGATTACTTTGACTATTTGAAAATCTGATAGTTAAAAATACTGTATCTCAAAATTTCAAGTTGCATTCTTGCCTCGTGTGGTTTCCTTTATAAGTTATAATCACTCAAAATATTAATATTTGTTGTATTGGTAAGTATTTATCCGTTTGTTTGGCTTTTTAAATATTAGTCATGTTTTAGGACACTTTGTTTTTTATGCATTTTCTCTTTTTTTACATGTTCAAATTAATGTTTTTAATGATTATTCTTTGGACTCATGCTTATTAGAACCATCTTCCCAGTATATATCATATTAGCTATCATTTTTTATGACTGTAATATTCTTTAAAAATTATTATTAAATGCTTTTATTGCGGGCTTTGACAGCTCTCATCACAATCCATACATTAATCCATTGTGTCAAGCATCCTTGTACATATGTTGCCATCATCATTTTCAAAGCATTTTCTTTCTAATTGAGCTCTTCATTTTCCTTACTCCCTCTTCTACCCTCCCGACTGTAATATTCTGCCTATAATTTACTTAACCTTTGCCAGTTGAAAAAACAATTACTTTTAAGAATGAAAATTTATAGCATTTTTAGTAAACAATACATCTGCATTAGCCTACTAATTTGTGACTCCTTAGTAAATATCAAGCATCTATAGTGCCATTTTATATATATACATATATGTGTGGTCTTGTACTTGATTTGTATTGTCTCCTTGTCTGATGCTTTCAGTACTCTGATAAGGCATGCTGCCAAGGAGTCTGGGAATAAAAGTGAAGGAGAGGATTTATTAGAAGCACATAGTCATTGGGCTACATTGTTTGACTAATACGCTTGGAAAAGCTTAGCCAGAACGAATGTGTGCATGCAATGTGCTGTTCCCTTTCCTGGGAGCCTTTATTTTCCAGGCTGCTAGATGCTTTACAAGGTTTGTTTCTTTGTTAATTAGTTACTTCTGCCTTTGATTAGTCTTCCTCACAGGAAGTAGCTTGTTTAGTTTGAATTCTATGGATGATTTTAAACATAAGAGATCCAAGGTTTTCCTTATCTTCCTCCTCTCCTGACAACAAGTTGGTAGTTTGCTGGGTAGTTAGATTTTAGGTACCTGTGAGCATCTCGGGCAGTCTTACCTCTCACCCTATAAATGAATTTCACTGCTGCACTGGATCTATGAGCCCAGGCAGCATATTGTATATATGTGAAGTGTTTCTAAGGATAGGCTTCACAACTTTCATCAAATTTTCTTAAGAATTCTATGGCTAAGAGCTTAAGAATCCAGAAACAACAAAAGATGCCTTATGAGTAGAAGAGACAAGACTATTTATAGGCCAGAACATGATGACCTAGGCCAAAACTGTCTGCCGGTGAGTCAGTTCAACTAGTAACAATCCCATGAAGGGTTACTGAGGTTGTGAATCTTTACGGGGGCATACAGCCTCATCTTTCTTCTGCAGGGTGGCTGGTGGGTTTGAACCACTGACATTGTGGTTAGCAGTCCAATGCCTAGCCCACAGTGCTGTATTTTGTTAGGCTTAACAAAATATTCAAATGTTTCTAAACATGGTAAGTGTGCAAATAGCATAAGTAAAACAAGGACTTATTGTCATGAAGACAAAAGGATGACTGATAAGTTACAAAAAGAACAATAATAATCACTTAGTTGTCCACAGTCTTAGACCACGGAGGCAAATAGCTCCTTACCACTACAAAATTCATGATGTAGCTATGAATCATACATCGTGAAAACAGTTGTTTGCTTTCGTTCATTTCAAAGATAGGGAAGATTTCTGCCAATTTCACCAACTATTTGGGGTTTCACTGGGTTAAATCTGAGTTATCTGGCATGGATGTTAAAAACTTTATGCAGATGAATCATACTTTACTAGATATATATCCTAATCCTGCTTTATTTGTAGTGTTGAATGACTGTCTTTGACAGATTACTGTACAGGCTTAATAGACAACTTAAAATGTAGGCAGCATATCATTTACCCAATAAATGGAAACTTTGACCAATTTTTGATTGGTTGATATTTATATTACTTTGCTAAACAGTTCTAAGTGATTGATCACAGGCCCAGGAAATCTTGGTTACAAAACAAGATATGTGTGTTAATGTTGATTGTTTTCTGGGGGAATAAGTATAAATGGAAGTAAATGAATAACAAGACTTTTTTCTGATTTCATTGGACCTAACCCTGGTGGTGCAGTGGTTAAGCACCCAGCCCCTAATCAGAAGGTCAGTGGTTTGAACCCACCAGCTGCTTGATGGGAGAATGATGTCAGTCAGCTCCCATAAGCATGACAGCGTGGACTGCCTCTGGAGCCATTCTACTCTGACTTACAGATGGGCTTTGAGTCGGAATCCACTCTATGGCACCAGGCTTGAGGTTTTTTGTTTTTTGAGTCACCTCACGACTTTTAAAGGTGAATTTATACCGAATTGAAAGATTATTTGTTAGCATACATGGTAGAGTAGCATCATTTGACAGGACGTGTGTCTGTCTCTGAGACGTTGTGGTGGTGTATTTGTATTTGATCGGTGATTGTTTATTAGGCACTCGCCACCTGTTACCTGGTAGATGTGATAGAGAATAGGTGAGTGTGGCAGCTCTCCATTTGCTGTTTGTGTAGCCCAGCCAGAGCCAGGTTGGACTAAGGATTAGGTGGCACAAGCACCCGTTGGTGGACCTCACCCAAGAGGTGGGCCGCAAGGAGTATGATTGTGTGTGCACTGTTGCTTCCCTAATGGGTGTGGAGGGGGCAAGAAAATAACAAGTTCTAACAACAGCGAAAAAGAAAACACTAAAGAAAAGGGAAAAACAAGCAGAGAAAGTAGACAAATAACCATTGAGAAAAAATAATTTGATTAAAGTTTTTTAAAAGGAAAATAAAATAAAAATGAAAGGGGGAACTAGGGAGAAGGAAAAAAGAGAAAGTAAAGAAAAAATCTGAGAAAAGAAAGGAAAAATAAAAGAGAACTAGAAGAAAAGACAGAGAAAGGGAAAGCAGAGAGGATGGTTAAAGAACAAGGGAAAGAACAAGGGAGTGAACAAAGAGAAAACCAAGGAATGGGGAAAGGTTGCTGGCATGACACCCTCTGCCAGCTGCCAGCCAAAGACCTCCTGGGGTAGGCTTTGGGGGGAGGTGCCTGGTCCTAGATGTAGTGCTTCTCAGCCTATATGTTATTGTGTCAGGGTTCTTGTTCAGGAAGTCATTTGGGTTGGCTCAAGGGGTTACTGTGGTCAGCATGCTTGTTCCTGGAAGAATTTCTTGCACCCCTAGAGCGCTGCTTGGGCAGCTGTGGGTTTGGGTAAGCTGAGGGTGGCTGCCTATGGAAGGAAATATTGTCTGTCCAGAGGTGGCCAAGGACCCAGCCATGTGTCTGAGGAAGGAGAAGTTAAACACCTCCAGATCTGACGAGCATTTTATAATGAATACTCTGACTGCTATGTGGAAACTAGATTAAAGGAAGAAAGCAATAGTAAACAAGAGGAAAACAGGAGATTTTTGCCTGCATTCAGGCAAGACATAGTGGTACTCTGGATGAGAGTAGTGGTAGAAATAAATAGAAGAGTGTCAGACTGATATGTATTTTAGGTATAGTGTTAATAGGACTTGCAGATGAACTGGATGTGGATGAGATGGCAAAGTGTGGGATCATAGGAAACAGATTTGAGCTGGTGACTGAGTATTTACTGAGTTGTGGAGGGATAGGGTTTAGGGGTCTGGATTTGGAGGGAGTTGAGAGAGAGAATTGGAAGTCCTGTTTGGATTTGAGTTACCTGTGAGATCCCTGTGGCAATGTACAGTATGGTGAATGTATAGATCTAGATTCTTAGTGTGAGAGAATAAGAAAGAATTGTATTTCTTCATCATTTTGAAGTTCCACTTCATTCCATGCAGAAGATTTTATCTTTCCATTTGGATTATGTGAGGGGACTTCAAGAAGTTTATGGGGGGAAAAAGTTTATGGAAAATCCCACTATCCTTCATTTCAATTTCCCCACAAACTTTCTGAAGCCTTTTAATCTTTCATAGACCCTTCTACAAGTGTATCTGTGTTTTTTCTTTGGATTTGAACCAGGCAGCTCAATATATATATATATATATTTTTTTAAATCCCAAAATATTGACATAAGGAAAGACTGATTCTGAAGTTTTAGAATTCTTGTTTATAAATAAATGAATGATTATTTCATCATTCAAAGCATTTCTTGAGTACAGAGATTAGGGTTTCACAGAAGTCCAAACTAGAGTTTAATGTGTAGTATTTTTATGTAAACAAACTGATTATAGAAACATTTCTATCACTTGCATTTGGTTTAGAGTTTTCATTATTAACTCTTAGGAAGTTTGAAGTTAACGTTTACTTTCCATGATTTTTCTTTACCCATTCCACTTTTTCCCATTTGTCCCCTTTTCGTCTAAAAAGAAAAAGGCAAATACAGAAGGGGAGAAGTAGCAGAATCAGGCCCACAGAACATTTTTGCGGTGTCATGAATTATTTTTAGTATTGTTTATTCTTCGCCTAATTTCTTACTTTATTTTTTTCCTTTTTGCCAGGCTGTGGCAAATGAGTCTGGACTAAACTTTATATCTGTCAAGGGTCCTGAACTACTAAATATGGTAAGTTCTTGTGCATTACCCATTATTTTAGATTAGGAAAAATAATGGTCATTCAAAGTACGGTATCAAACATCCATGAAGTTGTTCAACCATTACCCAAATTGATTCCAATTTTTCCCATCACACTAAACATGAATATCATATTCCAGAGAGAGGTTTCCTCTCTAGGTCCTCCCTCCCTGAGTAACAACTACCAGCTGTTGATCTCTATGTGAGTGAGGTCATACCACATAGACAGTCTCTCGAGTTGTGGATATCCAACTTACATATGACCTATAATAACAAACCAACCCCCATAAAGTATATGCTATTAAAAATATGAAGTACTTGTGGTAGGAGGTGAGAGGCCAGCCCCCTACCACTAATCACGGGTTCAGTAAAGCACAATTGTACGGTTGAGGTATATAAATATTATATTAAAGTCATAGTGAGCACTTTATGATAGAAGAGAGAGTCAAATAATGGAGTCAGACACGTGGAAAGAGGGGGAAGGGAAGGAGGACAAGGTGAAAGGGAAACGGGAGGAGAGGGAGGCGAGGAGAGGTCAAGGGAGGAGCCGAGAAAGGGGGAGGGAGAGAGACTCTCTTATTGCTAACCCAGGCTTATACACCTTTGGGGGCATGCAAGCCCACTAATTACAGGTAAAGACATACGTCACACGAAGGCGTTGCGCTAAATGTTATACAGCAGAGAGCGGGTGGTCTAGGGACATACACGCAGTAGGAAGAGGAGGGGTTGGGTGTATACATGTGACAAGATGGGCGGATCCTAGATACAGGATGGCAGCTTAACTGAGCTGGTTTGACCTGTTCTCTGGATTTCCATAGGAACCATTATCAATAGGGTGTGAACCCCACCTACAGGAACCAAGCTAATGGTTGCAAGCCTTAGCCCATTGTCCCCAGTAGCAGGGAGCAGGCCCACCCCTTGGTCTGGTGACTATATTCAGGGAGGATGTCTGTAAGCATCTGACCTCCCCACCACAAGTACATACAATGATTTTTAGTAGCAAATATGTGCTTTTCAGGGTGCATATCAAAATATTTATATTATTCTACTGTGTTATATGAAAGGTGTTTTCGTGTATATGGAAGAGTTTCTTGATTTTTTTTCATGCATGGAAAAATACAGCCTATCCTTTCTATGTACTGTGTGATGCGGGTGATACAGGACCAGGCAGTTTTGTTCTATGGTATGTTCAGTCACTGAGTCAGACCTGACTCATTGGCAACAAACAGCTCTAATTGACCGTGTAACAATGTAGGATTGAACTGCGTGGGGTCCACTTACACCTGAAGGTTTGTTTTTTGTTAATCTGTGTGATTCTTATCATCTGTGTGAGCAGTTGTCTCTCCAGTCAATAGCATATCATAGTAAAAAGCGATCTCCCAGTTCGCCCACTCTCTGGATCATGTTTACTGCAGTACTGGATAATATCAGGGGATTCATATGAAGTACCACTAATGGTGTTGGAAGGGTGCTCCAAGAACCAGTGAAAAGTCATGACATCGCAAGAAAATGCTCAATTACTTGATAATATTGACTGTAGATTGAAGCCTGCCAATGCAGTTGCCTGCCATTTCAAGATAAGTCAATTCAGAATAAGGCTATTGTAAAATAGAAAAGGAAACATAACTACACCAGGACGTGTGAAAACTACATTTTTTGGCAAAATATGTTTGTTCTTAATCATTTTATTGGGGACCTTTTACAAATCTTATGAAGAAAGATGAGGGTAATTGTATCAGGATTGCATTAGACTCATATACTGCCTTGAGCAGAACTGAGACATCTGTATTATATTGAGTCTTCCAATCCACGAGCATGTGACATTCTTCCATTTGTTGGGGTCACTTTTGTTTTTTTGGAATAGTGTTTTGTAATTTTCCTCATATAAATCTTTTGTTCTTTCAGTCAGGTATATTCTTAGATATTTCAATTTGTGCTTGGCTATTGTGAAGGGTATCACCTTTTTGATCTCCTCTTCTGTGGTCTTGTCCAATACATATAGCAGTCCTTATTGATCTTGTATCCTGCCACTCTGCCATATGGATTTTGCATATATAAAATCATATTATCTGTGAATAATAATAGTTTCACCTCTTCTTTCTCCAGGCAAATACCTTTGATGTCTTTTCGTTGCCTTATGCTGTTAGCTAAAACCTCCAGTACTATGTTAAATAAGAATGGGGACAAGGGGCATCCTTGTCTGGTCCCCTTTTACAGTGGGATTGTATTCATCTTTTCTCCATTGACTACCACATTGGCTGTTGGTTTTTCATATATAGCTTGTATTATCTTGAGGAGTTCTCCTTCCATTCCGATATTCTTGAGTGTCTTAAACAGGAATGGGTGTTGGATGTTGTCGAATGCTTTTTCTGCATCTATTGATATTATCTTGTGATTCTTGTCAATATGGCGAATGATCCTAATGGTCTTTTGTATGTTGAAACATCCCCGCATCCCTGGTATGGATCCCACTTGGTCATGGTGAATTATTTGTTTTATATACTTTTGTATTCTATTGGCCAGTATTTTTTAAAGGATTTTGCATCAATGTTCATTAGGGATATTGGTCTGTTCTCGATTCTTGTGGGATCCTTGTCCGGTTTTGGTATCAGAGTTATACTAGCTTCATAGAAGGAGTTCGGGAGTTTGCCGTCTTTTTCTATGTTCTGGAAGAGTTTGTCTAGGATTGGTGTCAGTTCTTCCCTGGATACTTGGTAGAATTCTCCTGTGAAGCCATCTGATCCAGGGGATTTATTTCTTGGTAGTCCCTTGATAACCTTGTCTATTTCTTCTATTACTATGGGTCTGTTGAGATTCTTGATGTCCATTGGGGATAGTCTAGTGAGGGATTGTTTTTCCAAGAATTTGTCCACGTCTTAAAAGTTGTTGAATTCATTGGAGTACAGTCCTTCATAGTACTGTGTCATTATCCTTTTGATTTTCTTAGGGTCTGTTGTAATGTTCCCTCTTTCATCCTTCATTCTTGCTATTGAAATTTGTTCCTTACTTTCTTTGGTTAGGCTTCCAAGTGGTCTGTCGATTCTGTTTATCCTTTCAAAGAGCCAACTTTTAGTAGCATTAATTTTCCCTCTCCTGAATCTCAGCCCTGGTTTTTATTATTTCTTTTCTTTTGCTATTAGTAGGATTGTCCTGCTGACTCTGCACTAGTTTTTGTGAATTTTGTGCTAGTATATCAATCATGAGTCTCTCTTCCTTTTTCATGTGTGCATGTATTGCTATGAAACTTCCTCTGATAACTGTCTTTGCTGTGTCCCATAACTTTTGGTACGCTGTGTTCTCATTTTCGTTGGTTTCTAGAAATTTCCTAATTTAATTTCTGATCTGGGCCAGTACACACTCCTTTTGCAATAGAGAGTTATTCATCCTCCAATAGTTTGCTCTTGTTCTCTTCATCATCCTTTAGTCAATTTCCAACCTTATGGCACAGTGGTCAGAGAGAGAGGTCTGTATGATATCAGTGTGCTTAAATTTATGTAGATTTGCCTTATGCCCCAGCATGTGGTCTTATCTTCGAATATGTGCCATGTGGGCCTGAGAAGAATTTGAGTTTTTTGATCTTTGGATGAATTGCTCTGTAAATATCTGTCACGTCCAATTGTCTAATTGTAGTGTTTAAATCTCTAGCCTCCTTGTTGAGTTTCTTTTCCTGTGATCTCTCTGTCTCAGAGAGCGGTGTGTTGAAGTCACCCACTATAATTGTTCAGGCTTTGATTTCTTTTTTCATCTTTTGGAGCATTTGGTAGACGTATTCAGTGGGTCTCTCGTTCGGGGAATATGTTTAAAATGCTTAGTGGTTATTTGTCTACCATTCCCTTGAGCATTATATAGTGCCCCTCATCTCTTTTTATGGTTTGCACTTTGAGGTCAATTTTATCTGAGATTAGGATTGCAACCCCTGCTTTTTTTTTTTTTTTTAATTGCTGTTTGCTTGGTATGCTTTTCTCCAGCATTTGATTCTCAGCCTATTTTTGTCTGTAGTCTTGAGATGTGTCTCCTGTGGGCAGCAGGTTGATAGGTTGTAATTTCTAAGCCAGTCTGCTAGTCTTGGTCTTTTAATTCCTGAGTTCAGGCCATTGCTATTCAGGGTTATTATCTCCATCTGTGGACTGTGTGATGTCATCTATACTTTTTGTGTTGGGTGTTCTCCTACCTCCCTTTCTTATCAGTGTGTTGTGTGCATGTGTGAGTGTTTCTTTCATGACTTCTTTCCACCTTTAAGCCAATGCTATCTTGGGGGCTGTTTTCTCTTTGTTGCACTCTGGGTGAGGTTGTTCTATGTGGTGGTCCCTTATTTATGCTTGGTGAGTGCTGTTCTTCTGTCCCTACTGGGTTGGCAAGGATCTTTTGTAGGGCTGGGTTTATTCTAACATATTCTTTGAGTTTTCCTTCTCTGGGAAGACTCTTCTCTCCATTTATCTTGATCGATAATTTGGCTAGATAGAGTATTCTTGGGTTTGCGTAATTTTCCTTCAATTTTTGGAATATGTTACTCCACACTCTCTCCTCGTCTTCATAGTGTCCGCTGATAGGTCTGCACATATTCTTATTTGGGAACCTTTATATGTGATTGCTTGTTTTTCCCTAGCTGCCCTCATGATTTTCTCCTTTTCCTCAGAGTTCAATTGTTTAACTATTATGTGCCTTGATGACTTCTTCTTGGGATTCACTCTAGCTGGTGTTCTTTCAGCCTCCTGAATGGTTGCCTGGTTTTCATTCATAAAGCTGGGGAAGTTTTCCTCCAAGAATTCTCTCACTATTATTGTAGATGACTTCTTCATTGTGTCTTCCTCCGGTAATCCAATTATCCTGATGCTGTTCCTCTTCATAGTATCAGGCATAGCTCTTAGGTTTTCTTCAGCTTTTCTGATGATCTTATTAGACTTCTGTTTGCATTTGTTAAAGTCTGCTTGGCTGTCCTCTAGGTCACTGATGTGGTTCTCTGCCTCCTCCAGTTATGGCAAAGTCCGTGAGTCTGCTACTGTTTTTTGTTATCTTGTCCCTATGCTCTTGTATTTCTCTTTGGTGTATAGTCTTTATCTCCTCTGTTATTTCATCCTTTTTCTGTATTGTTTCCCTCATATCCTGTATGAATCCAAGCAGAATTCTGAAAATTCTCTGTGGCAAATCCATGTTTTCTTCTTCTGTGCCTGTTCAGGACACCGTCTGCCATTGCCTTTTGTTTCTCATGTTTTCTCGTTGAGGTGTTGGGGCTGATTACTCTTTGAGTTGCATTGTTTTAGAGGAGCCAGGTGCCATTTTCCAGGGAGTCCAAGAGCATTGATTCTTCCTGGGAGACTCTTAGGAATGCTTCTTCGAACTGCCTGCAGCTAATTTCACTATGGAATTGGCCTACCCCTTTATCCTCCTGTGGCTGCACTCTTTCCTTGTCAACCAGTGTTCTGTTATTTGGAGGGCGAGTTGCATGGTTTTCTCAGGGGACGCTTGTTGGGTTGTTGTGGACCCACGAGGATGATGCTATACTAACTGATCTCACAAGAAGCCGTGATGGGTGTGCTCACTGCAGCTTGGGGTGCTGCAGAGGGCATGTGAGGGTGCCTGCTGCGACAGAAGTGCCACAGAAAGCTGGAGGGTTGCCCACTTTGGTGTAGAACACAGTGAATGGTGGACAGAATTGCTCTGGTCAGGTAGATCACTGCAGAGGTTCCCACAGCAGCATCTAACGTTGGCGAGTGTTGGCCGAGCTGCCTAAGACAGGCGGGAGGAAGTTCCCTCAGTCAAGCAGGACCACAGAGGACTGGTAGGAGTGCCCCCAGCCACACAGGCAGGATTTCCACCCAAGAAGGTGGGCGGGATTTCCCCAGCCACATGTTAAGTACTGCAGATGTTGGGCGGGTGGAATTTCCCCAGGAAGAAGGTGGGCGGGATTTCCCCCATTAGAAGTTGGGTGGAATATCCCCAGGTGGAGGGTGGGTGGGCTTACCCCAGCCTCTGGTTAAGCTGCCGAGGATGGAGCTCTCCGGGCTGGTGGAGGGCATGCGTAATGCCTTGGGCTAAGGGGAGTGGTCTGGAGGTTGGCAATGGCATGTGAGAGAAAAGCGAAGAGAAAAAGAAAAGGCAGAAAAACTAAGCCCACTGATACTGTGGGGGGAAGAGAGAAGAGAGGGAAACAAAAGTAACAGTATAGCTCAGCCCTGATCCTTGTGTGTGGGGCCGGAGAGCTTTAATCCCTACCCAGAAATGGCAGCAAGCTGTAGCTGTGTTGAGATAAAGCCCTTGTGCCAACTCCAAATAATCCCTACTTTGACTGAGACAGTGGCGAGGCTAAGGTTAAAACCTAGCCGGCCTCCACTGTGGTAAGCCAAAAGTCCCCAGCCCCTCAAAACCTTGTGGGTCTGTGTCTACTTATCTTTATGATGCTCCTCCTGCAACCTGGCAGTGTGGAATTTCCCTCTCAGTAACTCTCCTGTGCTAATTGCTGCAGAGCCCCTCTGGTATGTGTTACTCAGTCACCATCTTTCCAGAAGTCTCTAATTTGGTTTATTCAGTATGCAATAGAAGAAATGTTTAGCGGTAGTTTAGAAAAGCATTTCTTTTTTCTTTTTTTCCAATTGGAACCATTCTTTGCCATAATCCTTAACTATCACACAACTGCAACTAACCACTTTTCAGGGTTTTCCTTCTCTGAGTTTCAGAGGCCTGCCCACTCCCCTGGTGTCTATCATCAACCTTAATCAGGTTGATTTGGTGTTGCGCACACAGAGCCTCCACTAATTTGACATACATTGGCTCATCACGGTTGAATGTAAGCATCCAAAGATGGGCTTGGCGCTTGTCTAAAGCTTTGATAACTTCTCGAATTCCATGTACAAGGCCAGTGGTTCTCAACCTTCCTAATGCCGTGACCCTTTAATACAGTTCCTCATGTTGTGGTGACCCTCCAACCATAAAATTATCTCTGTTGCTACTTGATAATTGTAATTTTGCTACTGTTATGAATTGGACGACCCCAGTGAAAGGGTCGCTCAACCCCAAAGGGGTCATGACCTACAAGTTGAGAAGCGCTGTTCTAGACCACCATGAAGGGCCTGGTGATATAATGTTATCTTTTGGGCTGCAGTCTACATGGTCATCAGTTTGAAATCACTAGCAGCTCTGCAGGAGAAAGACTGGGCTTTCTACTCCTGCAAATAGTTACAGTCTTGGAAACGCTCAGGGAGGTCCCCGTATGAGTCAGCATTGACCCAATGACAATGAGTGAGAGGCCATCATGAATGAGGATGGACTTTAGCACATCCCTTACACATCCAGCTGAAATTGCATGTGGTTCGATCTGATACTATTTTGCCTCCGACTATTGCGTCAGTTCTGATGTAGAGACTTCTTGAAACACTGCCCAAGCCTGTGCTATTCTCACAGTTGTTACTGTGTTTGAGCACACTGTTAAGGCCACTGTGTCAACCCATCTCCTTGAGGAGCGTCTTTCTCTTTTTCATTGATCCTGCACCTTACCAAGCTTGTCCTTCACTAGGGACTGGTGTCTCCTAATAACGTCCATTGTTCATGAGATGAAGTCGTGCCATTCTTGCTTCTAAGGAGCATTCTTAGCTGTACTTCTTCCAAGACACATTTGTTTGTTCTGGTAGAGCATGATATAGTTAACATTATTCACCAATACTGTAATTCAAATACATCAGTTCTTCTACAGTCTTTCTTATTCATTGTCCAGCTTTTGCATGTATATTCAACAGTTGAAAATACCCTGGCTTGGGCCAGTCTTACCTTAGCTCTCAAAGTGACATCTTTATATTGAAGAGATCTTTTGCATCTGATAGGCCTAATGTAATCCACCATTTGATTTCTATGGACATTGAGTATAAAACCAAATAAGATTAAATTCATAACAACTTCAATTTTTTTCTCCACTGACCGTTCTGTTACTTATTGGTCCAATTGTGAGGATTGTTTTCTCTATGTTGAGGTGTAACCCTTACTGAAGGCTATAGTCTCTGTAGACTGTCGTAAATGTTATTCGTGCCTAATTGTATTTTAATTGGTCCAAATCGCAAAGTTGAACATTATATATTTTCTTTCCTCTCTGTATATATTTAGTATGTTGGTGAGAGTGAGCGTGCTGTGCGGCAGGTTTTTCAGCGAGCCAAGAACTCGGCACCCTGTGTGATATTCTTTGATGAAGTAGATGCCTTATGCCCTCGAAGATCAGACCGAGAGGTAAGTGTCCTAGATTAGTGACTTCTAGATTGTTTAAGCAACACAAACCTTCATAGTCCCAAATCAAGAACATATAAAGCCATCCCATGGGAAACAATGAGACTCTTTACATTAGGAACTTTTAAAGTTAGTCTTCTGAAATCACGACTTAAAGGTGACAGTTCTGGTGGGTTTTTTGTTTTTGTTTTTTTAGTCTATCAAATTTTTCTTTCTCTGTATATTGTTTTGGTTACAAAGTATTTGAATAATTATTTTACATACAAGTGAGTATTTGGTAATGGAAATAGATACTTCCAAGATAACATGCATTCAAAATTTAAAATAAACAAACCAGTTGCCACCAAGTTGATTCTGACTCATGGCAGCCCTATGTGTCAAAAGTATTACTGTGCACCATAGGGTTTTCAGTGACTGCTCTTTCAAAATTAGTTTGTCAAGAATGCCTTCCTACTTGCCTCTGGGTAGGTTTGCACTGTCAACCTTTGGGTTAGAAGTTAAGCACTTGGGTTAACAAGCGGCCATCTAGCTCAGAAGCAACAAAGCCCACATGGAAGAAGCACACCAGCCTGCGTGATCACGAGGTGCCGAACGGATCAGCTATCAGGGATCAGAGAACAAAAATCATATCATTGTTTGCTCACCTCCCTGATATGATCCCTGAAGACAAATGGGTGCATAAGCAAATGTGGCGAAGAAAGCTGATGGTGCCCAGCTATTAAAAGATATAGTGTCTGGGGTCTTAAAGGCTTGATGGTACACAAGCGGCCATCTAGCTTAGAAGCAACAAATACCACATGGAAGAAGCACACCAGCCTGTGTGATCACAAGGTGTCAAAGGGATCAGGTTATCAGGCATCATCAGAACAAAAAATCATATCATTGTGAATGAGGGGCTGAATTCGAGGTGGAGACCCAGAGCCCATTTGTAGGCCACTGGACATCCCCTTACAGAAGGGTCTCTGGGAGGAGACGAGCCAGTCAGGGTGCGATGTAGCAACGATGAAAAATACAACATTCCTCTAGTTCCTAAATGCTCCCCGCTCTCCCCCCCATCATGATCTGAATTCTACCTTACAAATCTGGCTAGACCAGAGGATGCACACTGGTACAGATAGGAACTGGAAACACAGGGAATCCAGGACAGATAAACCCCTCAGGACCAGTAGCGAGAGTGGCAATACTGGGAGGGGGGAGGATGGGTGGGGTAGAAAGGGGGAACCGATTACAAGGATCTACATATAACCTCATCCCTGGGGGACGGACAACAGAAAAGTGGGTGAAGGGAGATGTCACACAGGGCAAGATATGACAAAAAATTCATAAATTATTAAGGGTTCATGAGGGGTGGAGGGAGGGGGGGAAATGAGGAGCTGATGCCAGGGGCTTAAGTGGAGAGCAAATGTTTTGAAAACGATGAGGGCAATGAATGTACAAATGCGCTTTACACAATTGATGTATGAATGTATTGTGTTTAGTTGTATGAGCTCCTAATAAAACGATATAAAAATTTAAACAACAAAAAAATGTTAAGCACTTTAATTGTTAGCTCCACTGTCAGACTCTGTACTCAGAGTAGGTCTGAATATTAGCTTTAATACCTTGACACCTTTACTGTCACATATGAAATTCATCTACATTAAATACTGTTTGCATCAGTCATATTTGTTACAGGTCTTAGAGATTTCATTGCCGACAGATTCAGTTGTTATTGGGGGTACTGTTATGTAGTAATTTGAAGCATATGGAAGCCAAGTTAGATAACCTTTCTGGATAATAAAGACTATGAGATAAATCCATTATGAGATATCTGAGGAGGTGGTTACATTTCTGAAATCTGGGAAATTGTTCATGATTTCATTTTAAATAATTATTCTTAGTATGAATGTGTGTGTGTTTTCTTAGGTTGTGAAACATTTATTAAATGTCACATTTCTCTAAAAGACTCCAGAACATCTCCAAACTGCAAAACCAAAAATTAAGTATCCTACTATGCACAATTCAAGTCATGGTGACTGTGTGTTCTCACCCAGTCCAGTTGTCATTGCTGTCATCCCGGGAGTTCCTTCTTCGTAGTTCTTGATAGGGGTGTTCCAGGCTGGCGCTGACATTCTTCTTCCAGGTTCCCTTGCCGATAATCATAATCAACCATCTAAGGCAGCCGTTCTCGACCTGTGAGTCGTGACCCCTTTGGTGGTCCAACGACCCTTTCACTGGAGTCGCCTGATTCATAACAGTAGCAAAATTACAGTTATGAAGTAGCCACGGAAATAATTTTATGGTTGGGGGTGGGGAGTCACCACAACGTGAGGAACCATATTAAAGGGTCGCAGCATTAGGAAGATGGAGAACCACTGATCTCAGGTGTGAGCCAGAGTAAAGCTCTGCACTTGTGTTTGTCAGCTCAGCTGTAAGCACTGTAGAGTTTACTTCTTTGAACAACCTCCTCCCCGTTGTTTGGTCAGGAAAAGACCCTCTTCACTGTCCACAGCCCCTCATTGGTGCTGTTGGTCAGGTATTGGACTGCTAACTGAAAGACCAGTGATTCAGACCTACTAGCCACTCTGCAGGATGGAGGGGAGACTGTCCACTCCTGTTAAAATTGTACAGGGTCAAGATGCATTGGAAGTGACTCGGTGACAGTTGGTTTGGGTCTTTTTTTTAGTTCTCAGGTGGTGAGTCTGAATTCTGGAGACATTATATGTCTAGATGCTACAGCCCTCTGAGAAGTCTGCAGAGTGAAGAACATCCTAACTTCTAGGTTCCCTCTCTCAGATAGCTGCTACCTGTTTCCATGCTCTGCTGTTTTAACATTTTCACCCAAAAGGGACTCTGGAAACATTTTAAATTGAATGTATTCTTTCTGTATTATCTAAGCTGAACATGAATACATACCTGTGAGAAATTCAAATAAAGCCCAGATGGAGACAGTGTACTCTTCCTATTGTCCTCTCCTTATTCTCCTTGGACGCTAAGGCTTAGAGGATGCTCCTGAGAGCAGTTTAGTGTTTATTGTTTATCATTCTAGGAGTTTCCACGTAATTAAAAAACTTGGGTAGTTTAGACTTCTGTTTTCAAATAAATGTGGCCATTCTATTTTGAGCAATTTCCCACGTACTTATTGTTTTATTTTTCTGTAACTATAACTTAATATCCTAAAGTTTGGATTAAGGCAGAATTTACTTAATAATTCTCCTACTATGGACATTTACAGTGTTTCTAGTCATTTCCCCTTACAAACAGAATTGTAAAATTTGTATCATATTTTTATATACATGTGGAAGAATGTGAGACAAAGTTTTGAATTTCAGAATTGAAGATATGTACCCACACAAAAACCACAAGGTACTATGTCAACCAACAGTGTGTTAAAAAGAACCAATGTCCATTTTTTATTTTTTTGCACATTTTGTTGGCAATATAATGATATTAAATTTTATTATGCATTTCTCTGATGACCATCTTGCGTTTCATCTTCTCTAAGTTGCCTGGTCAATGCATTTTCACCCTTTTGTTATTAGAATGTTCTTTGTTGTTGTTATTGACCCATAGGAGCTTGTGGTAGACTAATCATTGAAATAACCGAAAGGTCAGCAGTCCAAACTCACCAGCAGTTCCGAGAGAAAACTATCTGTTCCCATAAATATTTATAGTCTCAGAAGCCCTACATAGAATGGCTCTGAGTTGGAATCAACTTGATGACTGTGGGTTTGTGTTATTGGAGATGGGGGTAGGGGCAGGGAGGAGGGGCCTGGTGGTAATGCAGGATGGAAATTAGTCCTTTGTCCAATTAGGTGTTTTGGTAAGATTTCTCTCCTATCACTTAGGAGTTCCTGGTGGGACATAGGGTTAAGCCCTCTACTACTAGCCAGAAGTTTGGTGGTTCGAACCCACCCATTGGTGCCTTCGTGGAAAGGCTGACAACCTCCTTCCAAAAGGAAGTAGGCCTTACATAGCCTTATAAACCCTGTGCAACAGTTCTTCCCCACACATGGGATCACCATGCACCAGAATGTACTCAACAGCAACTAACAGCAGCAGCAGCAGTAGTGTTTTTTTGTACAGAATGTTTCATTTTAATATAGTAAACTCTACTAATCGTTTCTCTGACTCCATTAATTATTAGTGTTATTCCAACAAAGTGTGAAAATTAGGCACACTAAATATTTCTTCTGGAGAAACCAATAGGCTAACCCCCTAACTATCCATGTACCCCATGTACATAACATTTATGTTGCAGAAAGTCAGGAAGAAAAAGAAACAGTAGCAGTTTCTCATGTTCTCTGGTCCTAGTTTTCCCTATATCTAATCTCTGCCTCTATTTACCACCGCCCTGAACCTTCCTCTTAGATGTTGACCTGTGCTTCAAAGGAAAAGAAAAAAGCGCGGTGTCTCAGATCCTTCTGAACTTACTGCATGGAAAGATCTGGAAGACTTGATATTCTGGGGAATCGAGGTCGAAACCTGAGCCTCATGTAGCCCGGAGGGAAGTGCGCATGGGACTGCGAGGTCACCTGGACCTGAGCTTCACTTGAGCGCTATTCTTAATTTACTTTAAGACCTTGGACAAACAACCTCTCTAAGCCTCAGTTTCCCTGTTCTCATGTGTGGATGAGAACAGGACTGCTTATTTATTTTTTCCTTTTTATTGAGAACTGATGCAATTCTTGTTTTGTTTTAGGCAGGGGCAAGTGTCCGGGTGGTGAATCAGCTACTGACAGAGATGGATGGTCTTGAAACACGGCAGCAGGTTTTCATTATGGCAGCCACTAACAGGCCAGGTAAGAAAGAAGAACGTAAAACAGACAAGGCTAAAAACTTTCAATACTAAAATATTAAAAACTTTCAAAAAACCTACTAAAGGAAGATTCAATTTGGATACTTTTTTTTTTTACCACGAGTAGAATAAAGTCATAGAGAACACTTATATACCTGCTGATATAATGAAAAATACAGTCGCCTGCCTGGTTCCCAGGAGGATTTTTTCTGTGTTGAAGTGCAGAAAGTTGTGTTGTTAGCAGAGGATACTTAAGATATATACCTTTGACCCCAAATTATTCTCAGAAATTATGCCCTTTGTTTACTCTGACTTCCCTGAAAGTTGAAGATAGGTATTTTGGATTTTGTATTGGAACCGTGCCCCCTTTACCTGACCTACCTATTATTGCAAATTATTCTCCAGCTTAAATTCTCTATGAAGGGCTTAAGAAAAAAGACTAAAGACTTCAGAAGTGCTGGTGGTAGCTTCTGCCGTGGATCTTAACTAATTAAAACATTCTCATGACCATTTTTTAATACTTTGTCATCTACATGAGCCACTTTATCATAGCTGCAGTGCTACTGCTGGTACCTGTCATCTAACACAATATCCTTTTTTTAAACATTTTATTAGGGTCTCATACAACTGTTATCGCAATCCATACACACATCAATTGTGTAAAGCGCATTTGTACATCATTCTCAAAACATTTGCTCTCCACTTAAACCCCCGACATCAGGTCATTTTTCCCCCTCCCTCCCCGCTCCCCCCTCCTTCATGAGCCCTTGATAGTTTATAAATTGGTATTTTGTCATATCTTGAGATGGTTAATTTTTTTACATTCACTTTTTTCTACACAAACACACAAAACACACTACCACCACCATCACCACTTGTTCTCTGATTCTATCATCACAAAATTATATTGTTTTACGACCATTTGGGTTAAGTCACTAGTCATTCCTATGGCTGTAACTTTTCTCACAGCTGACCCAGCTAAGGTAGAGTTTTCTGCTCAAAGAACCATTTTCTTCTTCAATGTAGTTGCACTTTTTCCCTCCCCTTTTGATTGTTTGTTTGTATTTATCCTTCAGATAAGTTATAAAGCCAAATATGTAGTTCGACCAGATGAAGGACAAGTTCTACTTGTTTATTTCTCTCTTGAGCTCTTCTTACAGTCTTTAGTTCTCCTCTCCCACCCTGGACTGTTGCTTTCCCGGCCTCAGGTGTGACCAGCTGCGGCCAGCTACTTTCCTTTGCCGGCCGTTTCTGCTCTTACCTCTTTCTCAGTTCGTGCCCTCATTTTTCTACAGCTCATTTTTCAGTGGCTTTTCTAAGAAAGGACACAGAGGAGATAACTTCTTGAGTGCTTATATTTTGAAAATGTGTTTATTCCACCCTCAGCACTATGGGCAGCCTGGCTGGGTATAGAATTTTGGTTTAAAAAAGCAACAACAATTTTTTTTCCTTAATTTGTAGACATTGCTACTTTGCCTTCTAGTTTTCATTGCTAGAACAAAGAGGTTTTATATCATTCTAACTCATCTTTTGTGTGTAACTCTGTTTTTTCCAGTTATAAGTGAAACACTTCGTGGGCATTTTCAAAATACTGACTCATCCCCTCTGTTCATGGAAAATGTATTTCTTTTTGAGGGGAGAAATTTCATATAGTAAATTTAAATACATACCATGTTCCTGTTTCTTTACCCTTTTGTCTAGTGTCTTTTTCTGGAGCACTTCCAATATTGAGATACTAAACTTATTGGATTGATAATCTGATTTTTTATCTTTTCTCCTATTTCCTATTGCATTCTCTCTCCCAGTTTTCAAGATGTTAATTTTTTTAAAGTAAGTGAAAAGACAATCCTCTCACCATTCCAGCTTTACTAGTTCCGATGAAATCTGACAAACCCCAGACACTGTATCTTTTGATAGCTGGGCACCATCAGCTTTCTTCACTACATTTGCTTGTGCACCCGTGTTATCTTCAGCGATCATATTGAGTATGTGAGCAACACTGAATGCCAGGTTGTTAGAACAAAGTGTTCTTGCATTGAGGGAGGGCTTGAGCAGAGGCCCAAATTGCGTACACTTCCTCAGTGTATTGCTATATAAATATACGTACATAGGCCAATACTTCTATTTTTATGAATTAATACATTTACCATATATACTTGAGTATAAGCCAACCCAAATAACAGCCAAGGCACCTAATTTCACCACAAAAACGGCATTGAAAATGTGCTGGAAAACTCAGCTTATACACAAGTATATACGGTACAGATGTACATACAGATGTTTATACCTCTCTATCCATAGCTTTGATTTCTAGATCTTTCCTCTGTTTCCTTTTACCTTCCCCCTGCCCTACCATCATGCTCGCCCTTTAACCCAAAACTTAAAAGCATATATAATTCCAGGTCTGTCCACTGACCTTTATGACTATATCCCCACTGGTCCTGGGGGTTCTAGAAACAGCCCCTCCTAGCCTGAAGTCTATTTTGGGGACTCCTCAGGGGCTTTTTGGCTTTGCTTTGCTCCCGTTGCTGGAATTAAAAGTTTTTTTTGTTGTTGTTGTTTTCTTTTTATAAAGCACGTGTGAGGTGCCCTGGTATTGGGACTATGCCATGCTGTCCCACATGGAACCAGATTAGCTGAGTGGGTTTGGGACTGACTGGATCTGAATTCTACCCCAGCCCGGTGGAATTCTGCACTCCCATGTCACTCCTGGCTCTCTCCTGCACAACTCTTCAGGTTGTGCACTGGGGATCTGCATTCTATCACAGATCAATATCCCAGGGGCTCTTCAAGTGGCAAATTGGTGTCTAATTATCTATTGTTACCCACACTGACAGACACCATGCTAGGGAGAGGGGGAAATGGGATGGCCAATGTAGTCACGACATTCCTGGCTGTGGAAGGTGATGCAATGCCTGAGACTGCAGGAGTGGAGAGAATAGCAGAAAGGGGACCTCCAGTGTGGGTGGGGTCTTGTGGCTAGTTCTTGGTGGCCACTTTTTGACAGTAGACTGGGGAAATTGCTGCATTCTGCAGGTCTTGAATTTGGGGCGCAGGAAGGACTGTAGGATGCTGTCCCACTGAAACTGGGGAGGGATTAGTAGAGCCCATAGGTAGATGCAGTGGGCTTAGAGCATTTCCGGGAGTTCTCTAATTGCTTCACTGGTGAAAATCACAGGGGGAGTCTGTACCAGACCCTAGTACACTGAATCTATTTTAAGTTCCCAGTCTCCCAATATTTGCCTCCTTACTTCTTAATTTTCTGATCTAACAGAGGTAGGGTAAGGTTTGGGGAGGAGATAGTAAAAGGTCAGAATTTCACTCTTGAACATGTGGTGTTTAAGGTACTATCGGTGTTCGTATGGAGTTGTTGGGTAAGAAGCTAGGTGAAGGAACGAATAGAGTAAATGACATGTGATAGTTTAGTGAACCAGCCTCTCATATTCCAGACCCTCCATTCCTTGGACACTTCTCTTCATATTTAAGGTCTTCTGAAGTGCAGAGGGAGGCCTTAGTAGTTCACTGGTAGAATTCTCGACTTCCGTGTGGGAAACCTACGTTCATTTTCCAGCCTCAAATACAGTGCATCTCAAATACAGCCACCACCAGACCTATTGCTGTGACGCTGAGTAGGTTCAAGTGAAGCTTCCAAAGGCAGTTTGGGAAAAAAGATCTGGCACTCTACCTCTGAAAATCAGCCATTAAAAAGCCCTGTAGCTCACAACAGCCCAATCTCATTGTATATCAGGTATCTATGAGTCAGGGCTGACTTGACAGTAGTTAGCAATAACACAAAGTGCAAAAAATCAAATTAGAAGCATGTGAGTTCTGGACAGACAGCATGAGATTACCTTTGAGAAATTATATGTGAGAGAATATTGCAAGCCCCTTTGGCAGACTAGCTCAAATCATCTAAAACTAAAGTTTATATAAAGTACTGAGTTAGTCTGGGTGGACGAGAGAAACAAATTCATAGACACACACATATGTGTATAAGAAAGAGGTTTATATAAAAGAGCAGTTGAGTATTGAGAAAACATCCCAGCCCAGTCCAGATTGAGTTCATAAGTCTGATATTAGCCCATATGTCCGATACCAATCTATAAAGTCCTCTTCAGACTCACGAAACACATGCAATGACGCTGAATGCAGGAAGATCACAGGCCAGTGCGTGCAGTAGTCAGTGGCAGTGGAAGCATCTCAGCACTGGCAGGGGTCTCCATGTGGCTCCTCCAGTTTCCAGGGCAGAATCAGGGTAGGTCCATGTGGCTTCCTCCAGCTCCCAGAGCATAGCACCATGTGTCTTGTCAGCAGAGCATCTCCAAGGGAGTGATGTAGTGAGAAACAGTCTCTCCTGCCTCCAAGGAGGAAATAAGGAATTTCCCAGAATTCTCAGAAGGCCAGGCCCACACAGAGTCCTCATTGGCTCCCCTTCACTCCCAATCCTGAAACTGACACCAGATTATGTAACTACCACAAGTACTTAGATTACTTTTTATTATAAGTAAAATAAGCATATAAACAGTAATATTGATGCATTTATTAATTAGATATATTAAGGGATTATGAAAGTCTCAAACCATCAGTGCTTTGTAATACTAAGCAGGATTATTTACATCAGATTTCTTTTTTATTATTATTATTTTTTAATCATTTTATTAGGGGCTCATATAACTCTTATCACAATCCATGCATACATCAATTGTGTAAAGCACATTTGTACATTCATTGCCCTCATCATTCTCAAAACATTGGCTCTCCACTTAAGCCCCTTGCGTCAGGTTCTCATTTTTTCCCCTCCCTCCCCACTCTCCACTCCCTCATGAATCCTTGATAATTTATAAAATATTATTTTGTTATATCTTATCCTATCCGACTTCTCCCTTCACCCACTTTTCTGTTATCTGTCCCCCAGGGAAGAGGTCACATGTAGATCCTTATAATCGGTTCCCCCTTTCCAACCCACCCTCCTTTTACCCTCCCAGTATCACCACTTGGTCCTGAAGGGATCACCTGCCCTGGATTCCCTGTGTTTCCAGGGGGAGGAAGCATTTAGGAACTAGAGGAAAGTTGTGTTTTTCATCATTGCTACATCGCACCCTGATTGGCTCGTCTCCTCCCTGATACCTCTCTGCAAGGGGATGTCCAGTGGCCTACAAATGGGATTTGGGTCTCCACTCCGCACTCCCTCCCTCATTCATTATGGTAAGATTTTTCGTTCTGATGATGCCTGATACCTGATCCCTTCGACACCTCGTGGTTGCATAGGCTGGTGTGCTTCTACCATGTGGGCTTTGTTGCTTCTGAGCGCTAGATGGCTGCTTGTTTACCTTCAAGCCTTTAAGACCCCAGATGCTATAACTTTTGTTAGCCAGGCACAATCAGCTTTCTTCGCCACATTTGCTTATGCACCCATTTGTCTTCAGCAATCATATCATGGAGGTGAGCAAACTGACATTTTTTTGTTCTTTGATACCTAATAACTGATCCCGTCGGCACCTCTTGATCACGCAGGTTGGTGTGCTTCTTCCATGTGGGCTTTGTTGCTTCT